CTTTTTATTTATATTTTCCCTGTGAGTAGTGTCTATGGGCCATTTGTATTTTTTCCTTTTTGTCTGTTCATGTCCTTTGTCCGTTATTTACTTGGATCTCTTGATTTGTTGTTGGATTTTCGACCTCCTCACATTCTCTGAATATTTATCCATTATCAGATGCAAATATTTTGTATTGTTCTGTTCATTTTTTCTTCCCTTTGCTGATTGTTTCCTCACTGTGCAGAAACTTCTTAGCTTGATATCACCTTCTTATTTTATTTTTCCATATCATTTCCATGTTCTCAAAGGGAATCAATAAAAACTTCCCCTATATTTTAAGTGTTTCAATTTTGTTTTAATCATTTCATTCCCAAAAGAAGTTTCCTCAGTCTCCTGTGTTTGGGGGGTCTTTAAAAGTCTTTGCCCCCGGCTGGTATCTTACAGTGTTTCCCCTTCATTTTCCTCCAATAATTTGAGAGTTTCAGGTCTGAAGTTTAGCTCCTTGATCCATTTTCTCTTACTAATTATATTGCATTATGTGACACAGTTCTATAGTTACTGGGATTTCCCCCATCCCTCCCCAAAACCCGCCCCCCATGGTAGATTCCTCTATCTTGTTGCATTACACAGTTCAAGTTCAGTTGAGATTCTTTCATTGCAAGCATATACCAAGCATAGAGTCCAGAATCTTATTGTCCAGATAAGTTCAACGGCTTGTTGGGGAGGCCATCTCTGGTCTGAAGGTAGAGCCGACAGAGTATCATCCCTTTGATCCATTTTTATTTGATTTTTGTACAATATGTAAAGAAGGGGTTTTGCTTCAAATTAATGCCTGTGGAAACCTAATTTTCCCATCACCATTTGTCAAACAGGCTGTCCATTCTCCACAGAGTTTGTTTTAGCACGTTGGTTAAAGATTACTTGGTTGCAGAAGCATGCAATTATTTTGGGGATGTCTATTCTGTCCTTTGGTCTACCTGTCTGTTTCTATTCCAATATTATGTTGTTTTGGTTATAGTAGTTCTGTAATGTGTCTTAAAATCTGATGTTATGATGCCCTCCTTTGCTGCTGTTGCTGTTGTTTGCAATGAAGACTGCTTGTTGAAGGCGAATTGAATCTTTTGCATTACCATGGGAGTTCTAGGGGTGGTTTTTCAAGTTCTGTGGAAAATGTCTTTGAAATTTTTTTGGAGATTGCATTTGTAGCTATAATGAATGGGATTGGTCTTGTAAATTTCTTTTCAGCCAGATCCTTGTGTTGGTGTAAAAGAATGCAATGAACAAAAAAAGCATGTTCATTTTGTACCCAACAACTTGCTGAATTCTGTCATCAGTTCTCTTTTGGTTCTCCTACATAAAGAATCATGTCATTTGCCAAAACAGGTAGTCTGATGGCCTCATTTCTAATTAGTATCTCCGTAATTTCTTTTTCTTGCCTGACAGCTCTGGCTTAAACTTCCAGAACTGCACTGAATAAAATTGGTGAGAGTGCCTGCTTCCAAATCTTTATCAAAATGCTCCCCGCTTACTACTATTAAATACATACTGTCTAGCCAAACAAGATCTTACTGATTTTTGGAGGACAAAGTCTCATCTTAGAGATTTTTCATTCTGGTGTTTTAACTCATAGTTTATGTCGTTAGACTTCATAATTAATATTTTTCCATATCCTTCCCTTGCTTTCAAAGGGAATTAATAAAAACTTCCCCTATATTCTAAGGTGTTTACATTTTGTTTTAATTACTTAATTCCCAAAAGATATTTCCCCAGTCTGCTGGTGTGACTGGGTAACAGCCATGCCATGTGCTTGGAAAAGATAGCACTCTGCTCCTCTTTGGTTGATTGCGGCTGCCTTTCATGTCCAACACAGGAAATTACACACGCTAAAATGTGCTCCTTCCTCAGAGGGTCAGGATGTGATATCCTTGAATTACTGTGGCTGTCTGGCTGCTTCAAGCAGAAGCGCTAGTCCCCTGCCATATCCTTGGTAACAGGAACCATGTCCCAAAGGTGCATCTCCAGTAGACCAATATCTCTTTTCATTCCATTTTTACACTCTTCATTCTGTAGATTCTCCTCATTCTTTAGGTAGGTTAGTTGTGCTTGAGCCGCAGCCACTTTTCCAGATGATCTGGCTTTGCGTTTGCTTTCTTTTTACTTTTCATCCATTGTTCCCTATATTATCGAAACAAACTTTGGTCCTCTCTCTGTTTAAAGTCAGCATAATTAGTAGCTTCAATTGTTCCCTACACTCTTACATAATTGGGTTGTTTATAGTCAGATAGTTTCTGAAAGGCCAAAAAAATTTTTAGGGTTCTTTTGCTTCCCAACATATAAATTAGTATTCAACACAACCATGCCTTAAACTTGCTTCTTACAGGAGACAAACTAGTTTTTTTCTCTGCTTGCCATTAAGCCATATGTCCCACAAATTTTGATTGGAAATGAGCTTCCATGATATTGTCTCATTTCCTTTTATTGCTTCTTGGAATTGCCTCAAAGGTCAGCCAGACATCTATAATATTAGGTAAATTACTAATGTTCCATAAACCTCATTTTGCTTGTTAGTAAAATGAGACACTAGGAGTTCCTACTCTATACAAGTATTATGAATATTAAATATGAAAAAGTGAGTTACATGCTTACTACATAATAAATACTTAGTACACACTTAATAAATTATGGATCCAATTTGTTGTGACTTAGCATGTTTATTATTCATCTGGTTTTTTAAAAAATTTATTTTTAACATTGCTCACACCGCTGAGAAGGATGCATGCCCGTGTGGATCTTCGCTTAGGATGGGGAGGTTGGAGGCATGGAGGAAGATGGATGGAACAAAAGCTTCAGTTTTTTTTTGTTGTTGTTGTTCTGTATTTGTAGGACAGGGAAGGGAAGGGAGGAACTCCTTGCTGTTAAACTGCATCGGTACCCTGGGATGGAGGGACACAGTCATTTGATGACATCTTAGAGACCTCAATGTGGGGATGAGTATTCTAAGGGTATTACTTGAATGGTTTTGATAGTTCTGAGATGTTATTGGGCTTTGTTGCACCAAGGCTGAGAAAATCTTTCCAAGGTCTATTGGCTGCCAAGTCCACCTTAGTGCTTCTACAGGCCCAGGAACATATTGCAAAGTTTGGCCAGGAGAGTGTTCCAAACTGTGTTGGCTTTACTTCCTCTGATGAGGCCTTCAATATCCTCTGCTGGCAGGCGTTGTCTAGCCTCATCCATATGCAGGCTCCTGGCAGTGTCAAGTGAATTTCCTGGTCCAGCCTTCCTCATCCCATCACCCCTAGCTCTCTGTGCAAATCAACAGATGTTGCAATTCTACAGGGGCGATCTCACAAGTCTACAGAATCTGTTCCCAGATCTGGTTCTCTCACATTCTTGTGGTTGTTGTGGTCCAGTTTGACTGGACCCAACCCCTACTACAACTCATGGGTGGGTACTGTGGCCTAGTTCAGCCTGTCATACTCTCAGTCCCAGCTTTTACGTGTACCAGTAGGGAGCAGGTGATGCTATTTAGCCATGCTCAGGTCTTCCACATGGGTGGGTGCCTTGGCCTGAGCCAGACACGCCCTCCTGTTTCAGCCCTATAAACCACTCCATCTCATCTTCCTTGCCTGTCTTTGAGTGAAGTGATTGGTCTGTGGAAGACACCAGAGGTCATTCCTCCCCATCAATCATGCCCTCAGCTGTTCCCACTCCAGTAAGTCTCTAGGGCCCCTGCCCTAGGCCATCTGTAGCTCCCTCTGCCTGGGCACAGGGGTGTCATGTCTTGGCCTAACATTCCTTGTATCCATGTATCTTTTAAAAAAATAGACAACTGTGCTGGCATACTGGCATGATCAACAAATTTGGCATTTCTTAGGTATAGAGTGCTTATCAGCTCTTGGCTACTTGTCCCCTAGCACTACAACACTTGCCGAGGTTCAAGGCAACTTAGGCAGTTTCTTACAACTGGGGAGTATTAGTTATTTGTGTAATAGTTATGTTAAGTGTTTAGTACTCCGAAAAGGAAACATACTAAAGTTAAAACACTACACGTGATCTTGGTTTCTTTATATTACATTTCCTTGTTTCTTTCCAGATGATGAATTGTACCTGTGGTGCTTTTGTTTACCAATTAACTTTAAAAACGTTTTTTGAACACCATTACTTATTTCTGAAATTTCCTTTTGTTTTTTCTAGATTGGTGGGAGGGATTCAAATTCAAACTCTACCAGAGTTGTTTTTTGTTTTTTTTTTTTTTTTTTTTTTTTTTACAAAGCCTTATTTATGTGTTTGCAATGTAGAGCATCAGAGAAAGGTGAGGAAAGGGAGAAAGATTCAATCTGCTGGTGCACTCCCCAGAAGGCTGCAACATCCAGGGCTAGGCCCGAGGAAATCCAAGAGCCAGGAACTGATCTTTTACATGGGTGACAGGCACCTGAATGTTATTTCTAACTTGTACTGACTTCCCAGATCTGTGGGGTGGGAAACAGTGGCTGTGATTGGAATCCCTGCTCTGATCCAGAATACTGGCATTCTAATTGGCTGCTTCACTTGCTAAAGCATAACTCCAATCTCCAACTCTCCCAGAAGTTTTTAATGTTAATCTTGCACTAGACTCCACACTGAGTGTTTGGGCCTTTCCAGATATTATCTCCCTTTTATAGATGGAAGAATCATGATCCAGAAAATTTGAAAGAATTGTCCCAAATCATATATTATCTATCAGAAGGAGATAAAGACTTAACTCTAAATCAAAGAGAAAAAGCCTTAGAAGGTCTATGACCAAACAGTTTGAAGGTGTAGAGAGAGACCTGCTTTTTCCTTAAAGTCTTGGGAAAAAAAGTCTTTGGGAAGAGAATGAATTTTAAGCTGTGATCTGTACAGGCAATACAAACACATGAACAATTGGAGTTGGCTAATTTAGAAAACATTCCATTTCTCTATTCTCATTTTACTTATTTATAAAAAGCTGTATACATAAATGCAACGTAGATAAATCACCACCAATTGGAAGATAAAGTAAAAGCAGAATAAATTTGTTTTATTTGATGACTTGTGGATTATTGCTTGTAGTACATAAAGAATGAGTCCAATGGAAGATGACCTAATATCAGTGTTTGCAATGATAATATGCTTTTAGTTACAGTTCTCATGATACAAAACTAGTCCTTGAAATGCTTTATAAATATGTTGATTCTGGGTACAAATGAATCCTCCACTTCGGAGGGCCTGGTGTGGGCTCCGGTTAAGGTCTCCGATACATGTCCAGTGTTTTCTTGTGCTTTTTTGGGAAACACACCATTTGGCATGATCCTGATAAGAACTGAAGTAAGATTGCTGTGATATCTTAATTGCTTTGATGTTGTAGACATGGTAAGGAAGGGAGCAGTTTGAGGGAAGCTCTTGTCTTTTTCGCTGCCAGGTTTCTGTTAGCAAGTGTGTCTTCAAATGTTGAGCCATCCAGCCTGCAAAGATGTCTAGGATTTAGGAGGAGAAAAACAGTGAGGATGGTGGTTACACTGAGACAGTCCCTAAATATATCCTCGGGAGTGGAAATCATCTTCCCCACCTAAGACATGGGTGGCATATGCACAATAATAACAATATGCTTAAGATAGTGAGTGGGATAGTTTTTTCCAATTGCTAAAATGATATGAAAATAAGCATTATTTTTATCTTTACTGTGATGAGATTGGTGTCTGTGGCTGTTTTTTGTTCCATATAGTCAAGGGAGTGATACTTCCTTTTGCCCTGAAAAGACCTTTGGAAGGAATAGACCTAGAGAAGTAATCATTTCACTTGGGGAATTCATGGCTCTGAAATAGGGGTTAGTTTCTGGGGATCTTGGTAAGCCATGCTAAAATGGATTGTATTTTGATTTTCTTAAAATAAATGGGGGCGGTTTTTATGATATGTTAGTAAATAACAGAAACTGATGGTAATCAATTAAAAAGTGATATGTAGGATGATTGGGGGGATAAGTTACAAAGGAGGTAAGAAAAGCATAATCTCCTGAAGCTAATACAAATGGGGTGGACTTATCTGTAGCAGAGAAGTTGGAACAAGGTAAATGTTTTAGTCCTACAGAATCTGGGATTGACTGAATTTTATTACTTCACAGAGGATTGAGATAAATAAGGGATCTAGAATGTCTGGTAAAGCATGTAGAGCATGAAAAAAATAACACTCCGGGGGTGATGGTGATGGTGAGATGAGCCTAGCTTGATAGATTTGACATGATTGTACCACCTCCACAAGGAAATGCTCCCTTCACTGTTGAGTACATCAGGCAGTGCAGAGGTCTCAGAGAGTCAGAATTGGGGATCACCTGAGATCTCACTGGAACTACCAAGCATGAGACTGCAGAGTGAAAGAAGGGCTAGAGGATGTCATGGCAACTATGTCACCTAATGAGCAGAGGAGGTCTACCTGCCAAGGAGAATTAAAGAAAGTGAGGGCTGGGTAGGGGGAGGCCAAAATCAGACAGGGAAGCATTTCAGAAAGGTGATGATTTCAACAGTGCCAAATTCTGCAGATTTTAAAAAAGATTTTATTTGAGAGTCAGAGGAGGGAAGCGACAGAGGAAGAGAGAAGGGTCAAAGACAAGCCTATTGTCTGTAGGGTTCCTACAGACAAGCAATGGTTGAGGTTGGTCTGTGGTAGAAACCAAACTTGGGCAGCAGAAACCTAACTACCTGAGCTATCACCACTTCCTTCAGTGGATCCCCTTCCAGGGGTCTGCATTAACAGGAACCTTCACTCAGGACAAATGCATTTTAGATGATATGTAGGGCTAGGATTCAAATGCAGAAACTATGCCATGGAATGCAGGTATCATAAATGATAAGCCAAAAAATCTGTCTCTAGAGGCTTTTTCTTTCCTATTAATTTTGGGAAACCTAGTGTTCAGTAAAGGACTCATAAAATAGCAGTCCTCCAGTACATTCCATTCAACAGATAGAGGAAGAAAGGGTCAAATAGGGCAAGAAGATAAGAAATTATCTGAGGCAACTGTTGGTGATTGGAGACTGGATTATTCACAGACAGAAACAAGACTTCAATGAGAGAACACCAAGCAGGTGAATGCCCTTACTAGCTTTTTGAAAAGAAACTTAAGGAAAAAAAAAATACAGAGATACAGCGATTTTAGAACTGAAGGAGCAGTCAATCATGGTTGTATGTTACCAAGAAAGAATCAGCAGAATGGCGCATTCGAAGCAGTGTCAGACTAGGTCACACATTATATATTCAAGGCCGAGGTAGATACAGAGCCCAGGGGCACATTACTGTCATGGAGACATGTGGTAATTAGCAATGAAAACTGATCAGAATGTTGCAGGGGTAGGGGAAGACATTAGAGAGATTCCTTCCTACTGATCTATGTTCTCTGTCAGTGAGGGAGGCTAGGTACTAGAAATGATTTGAGAACAAGGAAGGCTTAAATTAATTGTTCATAGAATGGAAGAAGAGTAGTGGTTGGGATCCTAGCTCCAGGAGGAGCTTTGTGGCTGGGTCAGGAACCCTGATTTTCAAATGGAGAAGGCAAATGTTTGAATTGATCCTTGACTTCATTATTCCTTATCCTTCACATTTCCTCTTTTCTTTCTTTTTCTTTCTTCCTTTTTTTTTTTTAAACTGAATCCCACCCCATGCCCCCAATCAGAACATTTCCTTCAAGCAATCCTTAGTGAGTCTAACAGCAGAGTTGTACTGCATATTTTTTGGTAATGCATTTTCATACCATCAAGAAAAGAATCAGACTTTGCAAAATGGAGAAAATTGTGTCCCTGGGCTGACTGAAGTGTGGCCAGGTGTTGGACAGGGATCTCGGAGGAGCTGGACGTCTTGCAAAGCTGGGACATGTGGATGAACTCCTGAAGAAAGGCAGCTGGGATGGAGCAGCTATAGATGTTTGGGTTGTAGATCAGAAGCTGAGAAGCTGAATCCAGAAATAATAAAGAAATTTTGAGAATTTAGATGCAAATAGAAATACGTTTTGGTATTATTACATGCTGTGTTCTGGATTAAGAAAAAGAAAAAGAAACAAACTCCAACACATTCTCACAGAGACTGAACTCCTATAATGCAAAAGCAGGATTCAGCCTTTCATCTGTCTGTCTTAGCTCAAGGTGTCCTTGGGTGTCCTTTATCAAAACAAATTCACTGAGTCAAGAGAGTTGTACAGCTGGCCCTACAAGGCTGTAATCACTGGACTCAACAAGTCATTTCTTTCTCCAATAGATAGACCTGTGTTAGTCATTTTTATTCCATGCGGTTTGTGTGAGAAAATTCCAGGTCTAGGAAGGGAAATTCCAAGTCTGGGGCAAAAGGGTAACTACTACTTTTATAATCTTCAGCTCAACTGCAACCCACCTGGTCATGATAAAAATTCCCTAAATAATACAGCAGCTCTGGCCAATCGAAGAAAGGTCGTGAGCACCACTAACCCCAGGAACTTACACAGGACTGGAAATGCACCTCTCATCTCAACTCCAGTTTATAAGGACCGTCACCTCTAACTCCTTGAGGAGCCTGGGAGTGAGTAACAGCTGCTCAACTCATAGCTCTGCACTTTGTAATAAATAACCAATTTCTCCCTCCACCCTGATGATTGACATTTTGCACATTGGGTAGGTGGACCCAACTTGGGGGTTTGACAGCAAATGCTCAAACTAATTTGGGGTATTGTTTTTCAGTGCTTTCTTTAAAGTAACAGCTTTTAAGTTACTTTTGGTTAAAATAACCTATACCCAATGAGCATCACCTCCTTTTTGTGAGTTGGCTTTGTGAGTTTTATCTGAGTTTACTTACTTAATCTTCATATACATTTTATTAGGTAAATTCTGTTGTTATAATTTCCCTCATTTTATAGATTGATTAGATGAGAGTTTTGCCAAATGTTATAATAAAACTTGTGACTGATGCAGTTGATAAGCAAAGTCACGTAATTTGATCTTGGAGGTCATATTTTTTCTCCCATATTTACACATACAAAAATATAATGCTCCTTGTATCATCCAGCATCAAGAATTATCAGCTTATCAGCATGTATACTTAATTTCCATGTTGTTTTGCTCTCCTATTATTTGTTGAGCTCTACTGGTTAGAGTAGAGCTTGACTTAGGTGAGAGCATCAGTGAGTCTTACCAAAAGGTGGAAATTTGATGAGAAAACTTTTCTAAGGGTCCAACATCTAGATACAAGCTACTCTTCAACATTATTATGCAACTACCTCAGTAAAAAGTGATTGGCTAAATAGTAACAGTGTTGCTTTTTTTCCACATTAGTTTTCTGAATCTAATTTTATTTTTTGAGCTTGAGCTCCCATAAGATCACCTGGCAAAGAAGTGCTATATTGTCTGTACAGACAACGTGAAATGCAAAATTAAATAAAAAGATTGAACCTACATTTAAAAAATCTGGATTAACATTATGTTTTTAGAATTGTGTCTATAAATCACATTAAATTTGTTAAAAATGACTGAAAATGAAAATAAAAATTTAAAATAAAGAAAATAATCTCGATTGATCTCTTTATCCTATTTCTGTGTTCTTGTAGAATCCTCAATACCTGTAATTGTTAGGCCTGTTTCCCTGTACAGATACGATGTCATGAAGCAGAAGCCTCTATGAGCTAAACAGGAGTCCACATCCTAGTTTTGCACTCTCCCCACTTTCCATGCAATATCTGTCTAGTTTGCTTTTTGGTTATCTGCCTGGCCCCTGAATACAGTTGAAAGTAGTGCCCCATTCAGTTCAGTGACTTGATTGCTACCCCAGCATCTGAAACCCAGTAAGTGAACCTTCCTACTGTCTCATCATGACAAAGCCCAATGTACCTATGAGGCAGTCCCTATGTAGATGAAAAAACAAAGGGACATATTTATTTCAAATCCCTTTTTTGATCTTGCTTTCTTTTCTTTTTCTTTTTTTCCCCCCACCTATGGTTTCATACTGGTGGTGCTTGAAAGTGATGCAGATGCCGCTTTGTCCATTTCGTTTCCCCGAGGGTGGATAAGCATAGCCTTCTTCCGGAATGGGAGGAAACCGAGGAATAGAATGAATCAGCCAGAATCCCTGGACTCTGTTCCACAGCAGTAAACCTACCAAAGACATAGTCCACAGATACATCAGAAAGAAAAAGCTCCTTTTAAAGTAGGGTTCAAAGCTGCAGCATGCAAGTCTGTTTATGCTTCAGGCTAATGTTTTATTAAGCTAATAATCATGAGGACCACGCTTGTGTTTCAAAGATTTCAAAAATAATTCAGGTACGCATCATGTTGCTCCATTACCAATAATAAGTCACCATAAAATGGGGGCCTGGGCAGCCATCCTGTGAACACTGAAGGGGAATTTTATGTTGAAACCACAAGGAAAATTTGTTTTGGCAGAATGCAAACTTGCTAAATTGGAATTTGACCTTGTTTAACTATACAGTCAACTGGCAAGCTTCAGATAGTGTCTTTACTGCTGAGCAGCTAAGCTAGTTTCAAACACCAGCTTGGAAACAGAATTTAAAAATTAAATGTGAAATGAAGAAATGTACCCGTAGGATTTTATTTGGAGAAATCAATGCTTATTAACTGCCAGAGGAGTCACCCAATTCCACAAGCAATGAGTGAAAACACGAAGCCTTCCTAAAGCATCCTAGTCAATTATGCTTAGAAAAATCTCGGGAGCAAAATAGCACAAGAACCATAAAAGAAAATAATCAGAAAAGTTTTCATTACTTTTGTGAGATGGAAAGAAGAACCATGAGCAACATGTACCCACAGGTATCTTCATGTCGGCAGATCTATCAGGGTAGGTTTGGTATGGTAATCAGACTTTCCAGTTTGCATGTGGCCATACAACTTAGTGGATTTTAAAGCCAATGCATTCATATTTACTTTGTTATTAGCATGGAAACCAAATTTCTATTAGTTATTTCTTTCCCAAAAAGCATACTCTAACCATGCTTATTGGTTTTTTTTTTATGGAAATAGATTCTAGGCCCATGTAGAAGAGGAAAATGTTGAAAGTCCTGTTGCTTAATGGGGCTGGATGGCCTTCAAGGACTCTATCCAAACTTCTGTGTTGAGTGTCGTAACATGTTAGAGCAGCTGTTGGCAAAAGAACCAACCTGCCCTACTCCCCCGTGACATTAAACCCCATCCTCTTTCTAGCATATTTCCAAACCCTTGTGGCAGACAATAAAGGGAAGCAGTACAAATGGTTGGAAGTTGTTGGATGAAAGAATGGAGCATGTGGCATGTTATTATAATTGTTGCATTCCATGTAAATAGGGCCACTAAAAATCTTCTAGTTTCAAGATCTCTGATAGCTAATGCAGATAACATTCCTAATCAAATTGCAAACCGGCAGCTCATGGGACAGATCCAGCCCACACGTATACATTGCTAGACTTGCAGAGCAATTTCAAATCTTTAAATTTGTTGCCAACATATAAAAATTGGGGCAGTTTTCCAAAAATACTAATTTTTAGCATCTCCTAAGAAATCTCATCCCTGTAAGACAAGTGAGAAATAGTTGCCTCCTTTCAAGTGTGTATATCCTCCAGTCACCTGCTACTTCCATCCACTTTGCTTCCAAAAATGTTTGAATTTAGGATCTTCTGAAGAATGTGTGTTGCCATGGAAAGTTGGAAAAAATGCTCAAAAATAGCCATTAGACTTGTTTCATAAAATGCTTTAAGAAATACATTTTATAAAAAGGAGAAAGAATCAAATACACTTATCTAGTGCATATTAGGATCACGGTTTTTATGTTATCTGCTTTTCGAATTTTCTATAATGCACAAGCTAATATTAATTTATGAGCTCTAAATTATTATAATTTATAAATAGGAAATTTATAAATTAATGTAATTAAAACATTACATATAATAACATAGAACAACATATACATAGCAAATTAATGCTATATAATGCAACTTAATGGTGCTTTTAAGCATTTTTACATTAAGAAGAATGAGTTTTGGGCCCGGTGCAGTGGCACAAGTGGTTAAAGGTCTTCGCCTTGCACGCCCGGGATCCCATATGGGTGCCGGTTCTAATCCCGGCAGCCCCGCTTCCCTTCCAGCTCCCTGCCTGTGGCCTGGGAAAGCAGTCGAGGACGGCCCAAAGCTTTGGGACCCTGCACCCGCGTGGGAGACCCAGAAGAGGCTCCTGGCTCCGGACTGGCATAGTATCGGCCCGTTGCGCTCACTTGGGGAGTGAATCATCGGACAGAAGATCTTCCTCTCTGTCTCTCCTCTCTGTATATCCGCCTTTCCAATGAAAAAATAATAAAAATAAATCTTAAAAAAAAAAATTGAAAAAAAAAAAAAGAAGAATGAGTTTTACTCATTGTAAATAGTAACTTAGCCTGAGTAAAAAGTGTACACTCTCCATACACACTTATACACATACATATATATACATACATATATGACTGGTTGAGTTGTACATGTATTTGTGTGTTTGAGTATATATACAAAAACACACATATGTGGGTATTCTCAATTGTCAGAAGTTGGATTTGTGCTCTAAAGTATTTATTTAAAAATAAGAAATAACATGTGGTTCCTGAAGAGGGGATTTCCAAGTCAAAGTAAATAGTTGTAGTCTGTGATATGGAAATCATATTTTCATAAATCATAACAAACCACGAAAAAGAAAACCATTTTTTTTTTGGTATGAGGCTACTGAAGATGAAATATTTAATAAAATGTTCATTTTCAGTAGGAAAGAGAAACCAACAACCTTTGACATACCTTTGGAGTGTCCGTACTTTCTGCTGTAATTCATAGATTTAGGGATGCCATCATTATATATTAGATAGGCCGTATGGTTACTCTGTAGAGATATATCAGGGTTATAATGGTGTAATTCTTCCACTCTCAAATGCTCACAACATTTCCAGCAGTTAACCAGCCTGCAATCCAGAACTTTGATTAATACACATGAGAAGTAATTCATTTATCAATGTGAACCCTGTGCTTGCAGAAAAGAGGAAGAAAGGAAGTCAGTTTTCAAACATGCATGCTTGTGACTCATGTAACAACAGCCTTATGAATCGTGATTGTGGCAAAGGTGATTTTCCATTTTCTCTTGATTGCATTGGAACGAGATTTCTGGACAAGAAACCTGTACACAATAAATGATTTGTTCTGGAAAAGTAGAAACAGTCAGCCAAGGATTACACTTCTGCCCCTTGCCCGCGCACTGGCATCACTGACATTACAGCACATGGTAGAACTGGCTGTCAGGATCTTATTTCTTCTTCCTCTTTGTTGCACCACTGTTTGGTCACAGCACTGTGCTCAGTTAAGTTTTCCCAACTTCTTCCCTCCTCCCCTCTGCACGTTGGATGACTTTTCTGTGTTCAGTTTCTCAGGGTCATTTTGTTTTCCAATTTGACAGTTCTACTTGGAAACTGTGGTGAACTTTTATGTGTGATGTTGGATTTCCTCTGGTAAAGTAAAATACACGTAATTTCTGCAAAGAGTTGGCCAAATCTCTGAGTCAAAATGAAAGCATTGTTTTGATAGTGTCTTTGCCATGTTTTGGAAACTTACAGTTGTTCTAGGTGGTTCCATTTCAGTTGTGTCATGATGCAATGACTTATAAGGATTTCAATAATGTTGATATTAAAAAAAATCAGTGGCATACTAAAAGCAGAAAAGGACAGCCCTTTTCCTTGTAAAAAAGAGCCCCCTTTCTCTCAGAGAAAAACCAACAAACTAGTAATTAAGTCTCTTATAGTTACTTAATCTTACTGACATAATTTTACAATGTACAATAGTCTATATAGTGCTGCTTAGGCATATTCAGTAAATAAGCTGTTTCATCAACTTCATTTTCCTGAATTGATCACAGCTACAGAATGGCATTTGTATCATGCTCAGTGGAGAAAACTGACAGTTATTCTATAAGCCATGGACATTGCATGTGGTAATGAGGCCATTTGTGTGCCTTCAGGGTGCAGTGTGAAGGGAGTGAAAAATGTTGGTGAACAAGTTTATGCTTCTAATATAATTTATTATTCCAGTCATGACTATAGCAGTAAACTAGGGGCAAATGTGTTGCATGTAGACTTGGTGGGAAGAGATCATGTGCCTTAATTACAGGGTGATGCAGCTGTGTACCTTTGCACAATGTTGTTCTTTTCACACATATGGTGGATATTGTTGTGACTGTTGTGTGTTGAATAAGAGGAACATAACCTCTGTTCCTCAGTCTAGCAATGACTATACTCGTGTGTACATAGTGTACAATAGACACAGTTTGAGAACTGTTAGTAAGAAGATGTATGGGATGTTCTTATTTGCAAATGGAATAGAAATGAGCAATTATAAGTGACATCAAACTATTAATCTCTCACCTTGACATTTGTATTTAAAACATTTATATTTAAAATCAGTTGGTCTGACTTTGCATGCCACTCTGTTAGAAGTTCAATTTCAGGCCAGCAAATAGTGGAATTTGGATACTGCTGTTATTGCTGGTAAACAGTTTAGCTTCCAAAGAACTCTCAGTTGTAACTGGATGTTGCTCACTGATGTTGCTTTCTTTTTTGGTTCCAAGTTCCATGTCTATAAGACATGGAAATCAGCCCCTTTCATTTCATTTTTTACCCATAACCAATCAGTCATGGCACTGTGTGTAAGTGGACTTTACGGTAAGTAAGAAGCATTTAATAGTTTTACACCTCCACTACAGAGTCAGAAGAGATATCTACTAGCCCCTCCTATACTCCCAAGCTCTGATGCAGACTCTGTTGCTCCATCTAGAAATTCATTTAATGTAAGAATTGATTGATAAGAAAAAAGTGCAGACATTTTATTAAATTTACAGGTACGTAAGGATCCTCACAAAAGAGTGAAGTTTAAGAAATAATCAAATTATGATGCTTTTACACTTTTTGGACAAAGAACAATAAGTGTGAAGGAGTGACAGAAAAAAAAATTGGCTCTCTGGACTAGGGTAGTAAATTCTAAGAATGTGATGAAGAGATACATCAGAAAGGGTGTGTAGAACACAGTGAAAGATAGGGCTCATTGCCACTCTGGTTATCAATCTCTGCTGACCAAGGTTGTTTTCTGATCTTGGAACATGGTGGATATTCCTTCTCAAAGAATCTTTGTGGCTGACATTTAGGAAGTAACAAGCAAGTGGTCCTTTCTGAAGCTGTAGTTACTTGGGGAATTTTGTCTTGAAATAATTAACATACCAATTTGGCATATTTGGGTATAGCATGTCCTCAATTATTTTGCCACGATGTTCTATTCCAGTCTCCCTTTGTGTTTCTTACATTTTTTAGTTGTTCCTGTTTTAAAATGTTTTAATTTTTTTATTTTGTGGACTAGTTTAGTTCTTCCTCCTTCCTTGACCCTGGAGCTAACTTTGTATTCTGCCAAACAGAGCTATGTACTCCAGCTAACGTCAAGGACAGAAGCTTTCCAAAGTCACCTTTCCTTTTCCCTCCCTCTGCAATCCCTGTGATGGAGGAAAGAACAATGCAACATGTCTTGTCTCACTCATGGGTCATGGCTTTGATTCACAACTGCAGCCTTAGGAGGCACAATCAGCTACAGGCCATTTTGATTTTCTGTAATACTCTGTTTTAAACAGAGCTGTAGTTGAGACCAAGTAACTGTTCAAAGACTTATTTATTTGAAAGAATTACAAAAACAGGAAGAAAGAGATATCTTGCATCCATTTGTCCACTCTGTAAAAGGTCATAATGGCCAGGCATGGGCCATCCGGAAGCCAGAAGTCAGGCACTTCACTTGTGTGTTCCACATAGGTGCAGAGGGCCAAGCACATGTGCCCATATACACTGTTTTGGGGCACTGTTTTTGGGGGCTGGATAAGCCATTGCTTTACACTACTGGCTCCCACAGTAAATAATTTTTAAAACATTTAGAAGAGTATTTAACACATCATATGGACTCCAACAGGCTACAAGCCAGTTTTAACTTTGAAACTTGGTACTAAAGTTTGAACTTCATGTCTCATGAACACAATGAGCACTACCATGCACAGGGGCAGCTTCCTGCATATTTGCAGTAAGTCCTGAGATTCCCGTGTGTAGTAGTGCTGGAGGTGAAAATGCTACTCTGGATGTTGCATTGCTTGACAGGTGTAAAGGCTATGCCAGAACTCAGCATATTGTAGAAATGAAGTCATTTTATGTATTTACTTCTTCATAATTTATTTTTAGGACATGCATATGGTTGTAAGACTGGATGTTACTAGTTTTTTACCTTGTCACCCTTGTTTGGAAAGCAGTATCTAGTCATTGAACAACAGACAGTACTTGGACGGTTGGGCAGCTCTCAGCAGGACTACCTACCTAGCGCTCTTTGGCTAGTTAACTCATTGCCTGATGAAGTCCAGATTGCAGTTTAAGAGCACAGAAGTAGCACTCTAACTAATCACCTATTGTTTTGAAAATAATTAATTAAAAGAAATACCCTAACCTTGGATCGTCACTACTCATCAACACCATAGCATAAACAATCTGTAACTCATGCGTGTTGGTCACAGCTCTGTGGAACCTTGGGGCAGCAGAGGGTTAACCTTCCTATTTCTTTCAGGTGGATAGGTCATCAAGCACTGAATGAATTGAATTGGCACAAAAATTGGCAGCCAGAATACTTTAATATATATGATTAGCTCACACCTCAGCTAGTGATATCACCGGATGCGATGCCAAATGTACTGATGATTTGGCACTGTTGTAGAGGAAGATGACTATTTCCCAAGTCATCCATCAGATTGATTCACATAGTTGTTCTTGGCTGACATTAGGCCTGCTTACTTCAAATTACTGGGGTTGAGAATTATGTGGTAAAATAAGCTTCCATGGATATTTTAGAAACTTTGAATTCTGTTTTAAGCATCTTATGATAAAGTCTCCCATACCTCAGAGGCATATGCTTCATATAGCTGTTGCAGCGTTCGTCCCAAAACACTCATGGTAGTATTCATCAATTGCTTACTTCTCCTCCAGCTTTTAGTTGTAGAGTCCAGGTACAGGTATTCTAAACCTGTCTTTCTATCTTCCTTGTCTTGCGTTTTAGGTAGCTTGTAAAATATAAACCTAAGAAAGAAAATGATCACTAATTACTAACATTTGTTGACTTTTCCTGTTGGCTGTCATTGTGTCAAACTCTTAAATTTGCCTCTAGTGTAAACTTCACAGATGGCCTCTAAGAAGAAGGGTTTGCTCAAATCACCTATCTCTTCACACAAAAGGGAAAGCACGTGTACATGGAAAGTGGATTTTTTGTTGTTGTTGCTTCCACAGCCTAAGTGGCTGCAGCGAGGAAAGGCCATGACCTATCTGTGACATGAAGACACCCTAGCTTTTATTCTGCCATAAGTCCTGTTCTGCAACTTTTGATCTCGAAGGTACATGCAGGCACAAAGGACTTTCTACCTCAATCGTGATCTTCAATTCCATTATTAGAACATTAAACATGATTGAGAGTCAGGAACAACTAACTAATCCTTTTCCTTTCCTTCATTAATGTGTCCTGTATATATAGCTCCTTTGGATGTTACGTGGAGGGGAGATGGGTGGGCATTTTTAGCATTCATTCGTTCACCCATGGATCTTATAGTCCAGGGGTTCTCAGTGTGCTCCACTTGCATTTTGAACCAGATCATTCTCTGTTGTGGAAGCTTTTCTATGTATTGTGGACTGCTGGCCTCCCCCAATTAGAAGGCAGAAGTTTCCACAAGTTCTGACAGTGTAAAAAGTCCTGTAGCTAAGAGTCGCTGTTTTAGCCAATATTAACTAATTGGGTGCTTCATCATGAACCCATGAATACTCACAGTCTACCAAGAACTATCATACATTAAAATAACACTATATAACAGTATGCAGCACCAGATTCTTCATTGGGTTCTTTCAGTACTGCACCCTTGTTTCAGTCAATTCTCTCCTGCCATGCTTTACTGTCTTGCTTGCAAGGCTAGGTCCTCACCAGGCACAGTAATCTGAAATCCTTTGGTGTTAATTTGATGGTTTCTGTTCTTTAATTCCCCAAGGCACTTGTAGTAGCTAGGCAACATATTGCTTATATTGTCTCTTATAGATATTACTAAGTAACATGTCTGTTGTGATGTGGTAAAAATGAACACATGTCTATCACAGTTTGATGGCATGCCACTAAAAGGCTGCTGAATTATCAGTGCGTCACGCACATAGTTGAGAACAGCATTTATAAGTGTTTTCCCTAAGTGACTGTTCGCAATAATAGACTGAAAACCCTGGAATCATGTTCTAGTTCAGGCCTCCCTGAAGAGGTTCAGAGAAACCTAAACACAAAAATTGCCAGAAACCTTTAACTACACATTTTTACACAAAATTGATGCTCTGCTCAAAGTCTGCCCATCCCCAGCTGCTAGGGAACATGTCTACATAGTTCCACAAGCCAGAAGTTTGGAAGTCATCATCCACATTTCCCTTTGTTTCACCTTCAGCAACTCACCAACTCCCAAGTCTTCTCAACGTTTCCTCCTCCTCTGTGTCCACCATCACTGCACTCTGCAATGTTAATCAAGTCCCCTTAGTCTCTAGGCCAGTGGGCTTCCAACCATGCAGTTCTCACCACATCGTGTTCCTGCTTCCTGTCCTTCTGTAGCTCCCCTTCCATATCATGTCCAAACCCCACAGCTCCGCACAGGAAGCACTTTATGACCTAGCTGTCACTTGCCTTTCTAGCCTCACCTGATAGCCTCACACATGTTCTCACACAGTTCCAGCAGCTCTAGACTTCCCAGATTGCTCCTCATTTCTGTTCTCTCATTTTTCCTCCATTATCTTGAAATACTTTGTATCTTCTTGTTCTAACCATGTGTTGAATGCTCGTATAAAAGTAACTCAAAATAATTTTCTCAGAGAAACCTTCTGGAATCTATGCCCCTTAATGCTCTACCTGTTCCTCCCCACATATCTGAGCTCCCAGTGAGTAGGAACAACATTTCTTTCACACTGGCACACTTCCAAAAGAACCTGGCATGAGATGCTCAAAGATGAAGTAAATGTATACAGAGTTTGATGCAAAGTATAAAAGCAAACCTGAACAGGATGTCAAGAATGAAAAACGGATCTAGGCTTTAGAGAACCCACAACTATCATGCATTCTTGGGTTTAGAGTCTTGGATGCTACACAAGAAGCCCAGTGACTTCCCACTCACTGCAACAACCAAACCAAGGTTAGTCAAACAGTGCTGGGGGTGGGAGTGGGAGAATGTCTTCCTTCTTGTTTCCACAAAGAGGCAAACATGCTTCAGTTTCAGAAAATGTCCTAGGCCCTTTCTCCTGAGTCAGTCTCTAAAAGGATGCTGGAGAGTTCTGTCAGGAAAAGCCACAGTGGAAACAGAGGGAATCACCAACTGATAGAAGTTGTCACCTCCATCCTGTTTCCATGGCTGCCAGCCTTGCCTAGCTGAGAGCAACGAGTCAGGCTGGAGATGGGCTACTCAGATCTTTCTCAGGGGGGCCAGGCACTCTCATTCAGCAGCCTATCCTAGCCTGGGAAATTGGCCTGTTTGTACGTTAACTTCCTTTCTTTGTAAATAGAGGAAATAGGGTGGAAATTCTCCGTAGGACTTGTACAGGGCACTCCCCTGCCCAAGGGTGCTAGTGTGCTGAGTGCACCCCGCCTTACCTCTTCTTTACCTACCAATCCACAGCTCTGCCTTCCTCATTTCTGCATGATATTATTGCTGCCTTCAGAAACCCACAATGGCCAAGGAAGAGCAAAGCAACGGTTGTTCCCAGAAGTCTCATTGCCATCTTCTGTCTGTCACTCCTGTTCCATGGCACAGTAAGAAACTGTCCACAGAGGGAGGAGTTGGAGTTTCAGGTCTCTCTCAGGCTGCTTTGGCCGTGACATTAGATTCCAGTTAACTCTGTTGTTTGCTGTTGAGGCATTTTCAGAATGGGATGAATCCCTTGTAAATGTGTGATCTGTCACAACATGCCAGCGCGTGACTCCCGATGCCTTTATGCTGAATTGTTGACTCATTTGCAAAGTCATCAAAAACATTTCTGGAGATGAAACAAAGAGATATGCAGTTAACTCTTTGGGGAGAATATTGTGTAGCTTGAAGTTCAGTAATTAGGAGTGCTCCATGTTGACAGGTTGATGCTGAATTAATGATAATTTGTGTTTTTTCCTCTCCTGACTAACTCTTTGTGAGTGAGCAAAAACATGTGGTCCACACCATAAATGGAAATGAGCTTAGGTCTTGGTAGTCAATAGGATCCATCACTTAAAATACTAGTTTTAAAGGAAATACTTGCTAGATGGTACTTCAAAGGATTGCATAAAAGTTAAAATAAATTTAATTGTATTTTGCCAGAAATGTTTGCATATGGTCCCCACCTCTCTGGGTTTGGCCATTCATTATGCTACTTTCGTTTAAAGAGAGCTTAGTGTCCAACTGGCTATTGTACAACCAGGCAAACATATTGATTGCCCACTTTTCAGGTTAAATAAAAAGTGTTATAAACATCCAATTTACCCAAACTATTCTTTCTCATGCTTGAAACTGAATCTCAATTTGAAAGCCCAGGGAAATGGACAACTACCATGGCAACTATAAAAAGGTGAGACCAATCTATTTTTGGAGGAGGGAAAGGCAAACATATGAAAAGAGTTGTTTTAAGTGTATGATGCTTGATTATATTATATAAGATGATCTCATAACAAATAGCAATGTATCTTGATGACCTCTAAAAAATGGAATGATATATATTTATGGAGTGCAGTGTGACAGTTCAATATATGATCAATTAAGATTAGTTAGCATTACATCTGCTTAAATATTTTCAAAATAAATAAACTGTTGAGCTGGCATGGTGATTCAATAGGCTAATCCTCTACCTGCAAGTAATGGCATCCCATATAGGCTTTTGTTTGTGTCCTGGATGTACTATTTCCTGGGAAAACAGTGGAGGACAGCTTAAGTGCTTGGGCCCCTGCACCTATGTGGGAGAGCCAAAAGAAGCTCCTGGCGCCTAGCTTCTAAACTAGTCCCAGCTGTGCAACCATTTGGGGAATGAAACAACGGATGAGAGATCTTTCTGTCTCTTTCTCTAAATCTGTCTTTCAAATAAAAATTAAAAAAAAAAAACTTAAAAAAGGAAACTTACTTTATTCTTACATTTTTATACTTTTATTTCAAATAAACAGGGGGGAAGAGAGAAAGAGGTCTTCAATTCACTGGTTTATTCCCAAAATGCCTGCCAATGTCCAGGGCTGAGTAAGACCAAAACCAGGAACTAGAAATTCAATTTAGATTTCCTTCATGGGTGCAGAAGCCCTTCTACCTGTATCATTTTCAGCTGCCTACCAGAATGTGTGTTAGAAGAAAGCCTGAATCTGGAGCTGAGCCAGGACTCCACTGGAGGTACTTGGAAATGAAATGTGGGCGTCCCAAGTCAGCTCCACCTGCCTGGCTGAATGCCTGCCTGTGCTTAAGTATTAAACATTTTTTAAAAGAATAATTGACGTGATGGCTAAAATTTGTCCTTCTGATATGGATTCTGATCAGATTCACTTAAGGAATTAGATCATGTGCATGAACAAGCTTGAAGATGTTCAGGTTCATAGGAAAGGGAGGGATTGTGGCACCATTCAAGACAGAGCTCTGTGAGGAGACTCTGAACCACCTGTTCACATTACATATTGCTCCTGCCATAAAGGGCAATTCGGAACTTTATTCTGGAAGTGCTTAGTCAGAATCCTTGTAGCTGAACTTGAAAAGCTATATTTTGAATAAGCTTGTTGGAGACACTGGTGCATAGTAACACTTAGAGTCACTATTTAAGGCCAAGACTAGGCTCAATCTGGTAGATCCATAGCTTTAGTCTGCAGGGAACAGATCAAATCAGCTAAACCAAGAAATGTTTTTCTTACCATTTCTCCATGGGTATCATTTTGTTTATATATGTTGTTACTATGCTTGGGAAAAAGAACTTCTACAACTACAAACTTTTTGTCAATTAAAAATTTTTTCATGGTGTGAAGTTTACTTTCCTACATTACAGTAAAGTAGAACTCTATCTTAGAAAACATTTTGTGTTACAATAATAGCTAAAGTCACCACGTTTGAGATTCGTTGATCCATTCCCAGAATATAAGCTACTTGTTTTCAGCTGTGTAGGCTAAAGACCATTTGTTGAACAGGGTGTAAGATAATTTCCATTTTCTTTTCCTCATTACATGTTTAAATTAGTGCCTGGAAATAGTGAGTGATTCATAAATGTAAGCTAAGATTATTCCTATGATAACCTGATCGCTTCCTGTGAGGTGGGTTGGAGAACGTCTAAATTAGGATGGCCTTTGTTAAATCCAGCTATATTTCAAGCTCTGAAAAAATACTTCTAGATTGGTTTCTTTCAAGCATCACTGTCAATAAACTCTTTTATCTTCCTTTGCTTACTAACCTTATCACACTGGTTGTCAATCAACAAGCTTTCTTATATAATCACTACTGTTACCACTGATCTGGACATTGAGCGGCTCCAGGGATTTAACATGACCCTAAATCTTGAATTCCAGCAACCTCATTTGTACTAAACATAACAAAATAAATGTTGGAAGAATACTACAAATTTAATGCATGAAGAAAATGCAAATTGAATATTTTCCCCCAGAAGGTTTACTGTTTTTGAAGCCTCAATAGTAGAGAAACGATGGTTCTTTCAAAATTCATTTATCTTTAAAATAGTAACAAATGCCTTGATCATAACTTAGCCAATGCACTTCTTCACTTGGTAGTATATTTCTTATTTTGTGGCTGAAGGTGTGTATTCATTTATCTAATAATTCTGGAAAATCTATTTTGTGCTTTTCAAATAGTACTTTATCATATCTTGCTGTACATTATCATATCTTCCTAACATATTTTGTATCTCTTTCATGTAATCTAGTTCCTTGTTTGCATTAATGCTTGAATTTTTATTTGGATATATTTCTAGGTCCTTATTTCTCTTTTTGGCAACATCAATTTATTACTTAATCTGTAACTTTCAAATAATTTTTCACAAAATAAATTTAAAAATTTTGATTCTGATTATAAATTGATAAACTGTAGTTGTGGGTATCTTAATTCTTTTTTTGGTTGTGGTTAATCTGTGTCAATCTACTTATTAATGCATTTATAGAAGTTTTATTGACTTTATTCAAATTCACTTTTTAAAAATTTCTTATTTCTTACTTACATGGTCAATCTTTTATTTCTGCAAAATTTGTAAATGTTATTTTATATTTTCACATTTAGTTAAAATATATAAAGTCCTTTGCAGGGTCAGACTTTGCTGTTATTTTTGCAACCCTTTCTCATAACACCTTGTTATTCTATGTACTTCGGGCTTTTGGCTCTGAATTTATTTTCCTTGAAACTTTATCTGAAAAAATGTTTTAGAATTGAGATAAAGTTGGATTTCTCCAGACCTTGTCTGTGTTGGCATCTGCAAAGTTCAGGATTCTAGGGAGTGAATCTGCTGGTTATTGTAAGTTACATTTTGAAGTATAATTTACATATCAATAAATTAATTGGGATTCACCTTTGTTCTTGTTTACACTTTGACAAGACTATTGGTAGACCTAGTAGACTCCAGAAAGTTGTAAAGTAAAAGTTGAGGTACTGTTGGGAGAAAGGAGAAAATACTTGAATTACTTTACAAGAGGGGATGAGATAAACAAAGGACACGAGTATTTCTAGAATAAAGAATTATTCACAAGAAATGTGCTTAAAGGAAAACAAAAGTAGAAGTATAGGAGGGCAAGAAAATTGTATTTTGTTAGTTTGTATTCATCCTCCAAGATGCCTTGAGAATGGCAATTTTCTCAGAAGCCATTTCTGATCTGCAATCTGGCTCAGACACACTTGCAATATATTTATTCCCAGAATGCGTGGTATTTCTTTAATCACAATAATTATCATTATGTGCCTCTTGTTAATTGGCTGGGTTTTTGAGCCATCCTTCAGAGAGCTGGGGTCAGAAAACTCTGGGTCAAACTGACTCATTGCTTGTTTTTGCAAATAGATTTGGTTGGAACACAGCCACATCCAATCTTTCATGTATTATGTGCAGCTGCTATACTGTGATGGCAGGATAGTGTCGATGAAACAAAGACTCTATGGCTTGAGAAGCCTAGTCTACGCTGTGATTATTTCCAGAGAGAGTTGGTTCTGGCATATAAACGATGAAGTTATAAGAGTCTGCCTTGTTTATAGTTGTGTCTGCAGCACATGTCATGGGGCTCACCACCTAGAAGGACCTAAATAAGTAGAGCTGAATGTAGGGGTTCAGCACAAAAGATTTCAGAGACTTCTGTTTTGGAATGATGTGGAATTTGGAATGAAGTAAAACCAGTCATAAAAGTAACTAAAAGCAAGTGTGTAGGAAGTAAAACTCGTGATGAAGAAATTCATTACAATGTTTGCAACTCAGGGAGGAAGCTGGGTGCAGTTGGAAGATCTGAGTTACTCGCTCAGCCCTGCTGCTCAGCAGTCATGTATGTGGTCCTGCCCAAGCCGTGTAATCTCACTGAGCTTCTGTTTCCTTTTCTAAGGGTGAAACTCATGACTGCCACGTTGACAAAGTGCTCTCAGAGGTTATTACAAAGTAGATGGAAAGTGGTGATTGTGAGGAAACTGAGGAAGAATCTCATTTTAGGAGGCAGCAAAGTAAAATTGATCTTTTGTTTCCATTTTTTCCCCAAACTTTTTGAAGGATCCCCTCACATGCACAATTTTGGCATATAACTCATGCTCATTAAATTCTGATTCTTTTTACTTTTTATGTTTTATTCCTATAATTTTAGTTGTGAATTTAAAAAACAAGAAATGTGAGGTAGTAATGCCTCATTTTCCTTATTAACACCTCATATTAATGTTTGTCATAATTAGTGAACTATGTCAAGCCTTCTCTCTCTCTCTATATATATATTATTATTATTATTATTATTATTTTTAGTCTGTTTTTGCTTTTGTTCCACCAACCCTTCCTAGCCTCTGGGAATCACCAATCAGAGTCAGAAAGAGGGCTTCTTTTTTTTTTTAAATTTATGTCCCACATTTATTTATCTTTCTGTGTCTGGCTTATTTCACTCAACATAATGGTCTCCACTTTCACTGATTTTTAAAAAGTTTTTATTTTTAAAGATTTATTTTTATTATTTTTTTTTATTGGAAAGGCGGATATACAGAGAGGAGAGACAGAGAGGAAGATCTTCCGTCCGATGATTCACTCCCCAAGTGAGCGCAACGGGCCGATACTATGCCGATCCGAAGCCAGGAGCCTCTTCCGGGTCTCCCACGCGGGTGCAGGTTCCCAAAGCTTTGGGCCGTCCTCGACTGCTTTCCCGGGCCACAGGCAGGGAGCTGGAAGGGAAGCGGGGCTGCCGGGATTAGAACCGGCGCCCATATGGGATCCCGGGCGTGCTAGGCGAGGACCTTTAACCACTTGCGCCACCGCGCCGGGCCCAAAAAGTTTTTATTTTTAAATTTGAATTTTATGGTACAATTCTGTAGAGTTCGGGGCCCCCCCAACCCCCGTTAAGTCCCCACACCTCATTTTTTTCCCATATTGTTACA